TAAAAGAAACCCTATTAAAGTACACAGTTCATTCTTTTAGTATAGTCACAAAGTTGTGCAACCATCACTGCTATATAATTCCAGAACATATCCATTAACCCAAAAGAAACCCTGTGCCCGTTAGCAGTTACCCTGCATCTCTCTTCGCAACCACAAATCTTTCTTTCTCTATGAATCAGCCTAGTTTGGCATTTTCATATAAATGGCATTGTACAATATGTTGCCGTTTTTGTCTGGCTTATTTCCCTGAGCATGATGCTTTCACTTAGTGTACATCACTCCTTTTTATGGTCAAATCATATCCTATTGTCTTCATATACTGCACTTTGTTTACCATTGATCAGTTGATAGTCATTTGGGTTGTTTATACTTTTTGGTGGTTGTGAATAATGTTGCTGTAAACATTCACATACAAGTTTTTGTATGGACATATGTCTTCAGTTCTCTTGGGTATGTGTTAGGATCAGAAATCTGAGTCACATGGTAACTCGATGTTAAACTTTTTTGAGGAACTGCCAAACTGTTTTCCAAAGTAGCTGCATGATTTTACATTCCCAGCAGTGTAGGAGGGTTCCAGTTCTCCACACTCTGCCCAACACTTGTTATTGTGTCTTTTGATTATTGCCTTTCTAGTGGTTATGAAGTGGTAGCTCAGTGTGGTTTTCATTTGCATTTCCCTAATGACTAATAATGTTGAGCATATTTTCATGGTATTTTGTTCTCCTAGCCTTACTGAAACAATTCAAGCTTTCAAAAACATTTCACACTGTTAGTGATATCCTCTTTGAAATTTGTTCTCTGGGCTGTTGGAACTTACCCTCTCTTGATTTTGCCTCTTTCCTCACTACAGCCTTAAATTGGGTCCTACTTCTCTTCCCAAACGTCAAAAGTTAGACTGGCTCAGTGCTCACTATTTACCTTATACCATTATGTTTTTCTTCATGACACTTATTTCTATCCACAATTAGAATATAAAGTGAGTCATTTCCTTATCTTCTGCATCACCCATTGGAATATAAGCTCTGTGGGGACAGAGGCTTTGTCTTGTCCATTACCATAGCCCTCGTTCCTAGAATAGCACCTAGAAATAGATATTTTTGAGTGAATGAATGTATACTTTAGAAAAGTCTACAGAAGTGTTACATGAATAAAAATCAGGACTCCATAGTCAAATAAGTTTCTAGAATGCTATATTAGATGAAGTTAAACAAGCATCTTTTGTGTGGAAGTTCTCATACTTTAATGTGATAATGACCTTTGTGAAACGTTATTTGACCATGAAAACATTTTTGGTGTGGAATGTGTCATGGGACTTTAAAAAGATGCTCTTCTAACTCAAGCAGCTAAACTGCAACTCCTGGCAAATTTGTGGAAGGCTTTTATTAAATAGATGTTTTGTTGGCACTTAGAAAAGTAAGTTGTGATCACCACAGCTTAATATGAAACCACTAAGAACAGATTATATCAAATTATCTTCATCTCTGATATTCATAGGGTTTTATCAGAATGTCATTCTGTTCGAAGGCCATAGTGATGGTATTTTTTCACAGCAATGAGGCTTTGAGCTGGCTTTATCATGATTTCTCTGTTCTGAGAAGCCGAGTGGGTTGTCAGCATCCTGTGATCAGCCTGTCACTTAAGAATTTATGTCAAGATATCAGGGTGGGTTGAGATCTATGCCCTTGGGAAAAAACCACCTGTACAGTGAGCTGTTTACTGTCTTTAGTGTGTCACAGCGAATTTCAAGTGGTTACCAGTGATCAAGAGTGGCTTTTCTAGAACTTGGTGGTAACATAGCCTATAGAGATAGCCCTGAACACTAAACCCAGAAGAGGAGGATAAAGAAAAGGAGGCAGGGGATAGACCTGGACCCTGGAGGTTCCCAAGTGCAGGTTCGCAGCCCACTGTATGTTAGTAGTGGATACTGACAGGCATATTCCTGAGGATCAGGCAAGGAGAGTTGTCAGAGTGCAGAAAGCCAGAGAAGCATTCAGAAAGATGTCTCCACATACTGGACGTAGTAGCTCACACCTATAATGCCAGCTACTTGGGAGGCTGAGGAGAGGGGATTGCTTGAGGCCAGGAGTTTGAGACAAGACTGGGCAACATAGTGAGAACTCCATTGCTAAAAATATGAGGGAAAAAAAAAAAAGTTAGCTTGGTGTGGTGGCATGCACCTGTAGTCCCAGCTTTGGGAGGCTGAGGCAGGAGGATCTCTTGAGCCTGGGAGTTGAAGGCTGCGGTGAGCTATGATTGTATCACTGTACTCCATCCTGGGTGACAGAGTGAGATTCTATGGGGAGAAAGAAAAGAAGGAAGGGAAGGGAAAAAAATAAAAACGAAGGAGGAAAAGAAGAGAAAGAAAAGACAGAAGGAAGGAAAAGAGGAAAAAACAAGAAAAGAGACAAAGAGTCTACACATAATGCAGTAGGGCAGGCAAAACAGCGAGTGACCTCAGTGCCCACACTGGCAGAAGCGAGGTAAGAAACCAGATGGATATTGTAAGCCAGTGGTTCTCGAAGTGTGGCATTAGACCAGCATCAGCTGGGAGCTTGTTAGAAATGTGGACTTTCAGGGCCCTGTAGTCTGCATTTTAACAAGCCCCAAGTACAGGTAGAAGATTGAGAATGGCTAGTCAAAGCAACAGAAACCAGCTTTTGCCAAAGAGATGCTTAAACAATGCCCTCATTCAAGGAGCTTCTTAATATCTTTCCTTTTTTTTTTTTTTTTTTTTTTTTTGCTGGTACAGAAATCAATCCCTGAATGTGATGTCTACTTGGTCTTCAGGTTTAAATGTGTTTTTTTAAATAATAAAAGTAATTCTTGTACATTTCTAGGTAATGAGTAGTAACTACATGCAAAGCTGAATGCTCAGCACATGGTTAGCAGACTTAATCCTCTTAACCCTGTGAGGTAGCAACCATTATAATCCCCATATAGATAAGGATACTGACACATAGACTTTGTGAGGCAAGGTCACATAGTTAGTTTGTGGTAGGTCCAGGATTTGTATTAGGATGTTTAACTGCAAGACACTGGTCTGGAACTTCCTACAATGTACAAGGGAGGTGGTGAAAGATGGATAGATGGGAGGGAGGAAGAGGGGAAGAAAGGAGGAGGGGGAAAGAAGGAAGAAAGGAGAAAAAGATGAAAAGAAGTAAGGATAGCAAGAGATTCTGGAATTAAAGAGTGAATGAAGGCTCCTTCTAAGGGTGGTCTCTATCCTTGTGCTATGTTATTTTCCTGGTTTTGCTTTTAAGTCAGCCCATCTAGAGATTTCAATAGATTTCAGCCCAGGCCCACCTGCCTGGCTTTCTCCTAAGAATTTGGTTTCATGGGTAGTTTGTGATTTATTTTTTCCTTGTTCTTTCACTTTCTCTCTCCATGCTCACATAATCTTTGTGACTTAAATACACACTTGGCCCAGTTGCTGAGAGATCCGTGACTGTCTTTATCATTGACTGGTGAATATTCTGGCAAAAGCATGTCACTCTTTGGGAACTGTGCTCAGGGGCTGCTTTGAAGCTCCTCTCTGCTTCATTCACCTTGGACCACGTTGTACCCTGCCTCAGCTTTAATAGGGTATCATTTTCCCCCTCCTTGTACTGCAAAGCCACAGGGACACTTAATCTTATGTTCTCTGGAGGCCTTTTGGAGCCTTGGAGCCCGATCGCAGTAATCAAGAAGGGGTGGGTGATCAGGGATGAGGTTTGACCCACTGTCTGCCTCTATTTAAGCTCTTCATTTTCACATTCCTCGCCATGGTTTGTAATAAAAGTGGAACATAGCTCAAGGGCAGAAGTGAGGTTTAACTTCACCCAAGGTACAATAGAGGCTATTTGGAAAGTAAAACTTTCAAATGGCAGTTTAGCCTTAAAGAATATATTGAATTAGATATGCTCTGAGCCTTGATTCACGATCATTGCATAATAGCATTGCTATGTATATTACCTGGGTGCTTTAGTAGACTAGGGAAATGGGCTATTTAAAAGATTAAATTCGCAGAATCAGTGCATGTGCTAATGAAACACGTGAGAGCAAAAGCCAAGAGGCCTCATTTCCGGTACTGACTTTTACTTCCTGTGGTGCTCTGGCCTCACCAAACATTGATTTCCTCTTCTCTGAAATGGAGATCATAGTAGACCTTGCCTCACAGGATTTTTTTTTTTTTTTTTTTTTTTTGAGAAGGAGTCTCACTCTGTTGCCCAGGCTGGAATGCAGTGGCGTGATCTTGTCTCACTGCAAGCTCTGCCTCCTGGGTTCACGCCATTCTCCTGCCTCAGCCTCCTAATTTTTTGTTTTTGTATTTTCAGTAGAGACAGGGTTTCACCGTGTTGGCCAGGATGGTCTCGATCTCCTGACCTTGTGATCTGCCCCCCTTGGTCTCCCAAGGTGCTGGGATTACAGGCGTAAGCCACTGCGCCCGGCTGCCTTACAGGATTTTTAAGAGTACTAAATGACAGAATGCCAAACACACAGCTTTCCTTATCATAGGAAGTAAATGCTTAATAAATGAGAACTGTTTGTATTACTATTATACGATTATTTCTCAAAGCTCTGAGTCTGTAATTCTGCCTATACTACTTGCTACTCTCATTTATTCGCTCTTTACTTATGCAGTTCTCTGTTAGCCAATTCTTATTTCTTGTCAGATTCAGAGTCATGATGGTCACCTTTGAAGATGTGCTGTCATTTCAAAGCACTGGCTAACTACAACCAAGACTGACAACCATGAATAATTCCATAGAGCCTCTGAAACACTCTAGCATTTCACTCCAACTCTTGTATATATACCACCAAGTTGTTCTCTCTTGCTTAGTGCGCTCTCTTCTCAGCAGAATTCAGGTATAGTTACCGAAGGTGGATATCAACTTCCTCTGAAAAATAACCCAGCAGGAACCATCATGGAGTAATTGGGCTTCATGAGATCATCACTGTCAAGTCTAAAAATACATGGGGAGATAATCACATTTACTTTTTTCTTTCTTGTACATTTTCAGCACGTTCACGTCCATGTTCTTCCCAGGAAGGCTGGAGACTTTCACAGGAATGACAGCATCTATGAGAAGGTGGGTCTGCTCTCTCTGATCTTATTGTTTGATCATGGGGACTGTCGTTGGGATGACATCAACCTAATGAATCAAGTATTACCCTACATATGGTCTGAAATGGAATTCTATTTAGTCTGACTTGGAAAGTGGCAGTAGAAGCCAAGGAGTCAAGAATGGCCATCATGGGAACCCAAGACTAATTAATTATAATGATTTTCTTTTTCAAATGAAAACCAGCAGAAAACAAGTGTCCTTGTGATTCCTATCCTGTCATTTACCAGGACAGTAAATATTTGCATGGAGATACGGCCCAGAATCTCCACAGAAGAAAACCTATGGTGCTACCGGTGAAAATCAAGCAGATTGATAGATGATTGTTTTAGTCAAATGCTACACTTAATTTTTAAAACACTTTGGAACTCAGCTTGTCGTTCCCAACCGCATTTATTCAAAGCGAAACTGAATTATTGTGAGGAAAAACTAGGTTGGTTTGAATAAGTGTAACTCACATATCATAAATATTAAAGAAGTTAATTTATTTCTAAGTACTCCCATTCAAAGATATAAGTGTAAAACCACTACAAACATGAATCGGCAAGAGCCAGGTGATCCTCACCTAAAGCCCTGTCTACATGAGAACCTTCAGATGCCCATTTCCACCATGTGGAGTGTAGAGCCTGTCATGGATCAGGCTGTTATAAAATATAAGGTGATTTCAGTTTACCTGTTTATTCTAGCCAAAGAGGGGAAAGTATGTCCCCCACATGGTAGAGCAGATTAGATAGCACTAGTGCCCTGGAGTGATTGGTTAAAAGGACTTTGAGGCTGTTTGTGGATGCAAGGAAAAGTGCTGTGATTGATTAGCAATGCCTGCCAAGGGCATCAGATAGGAGGGAGGTATCATATTTGCTGTCTATTTGACATTCCTGTTCTAACTCTTTGAGAATGCGTTTTAAAACACATTGTTTATCTAGATTGTTTATCATGTGGCTCTGTCAAATAAACCACATGATTATCTCTACCTTGTTTCCAGGGACCAGTTAAAATCTATGCAACTTTTTGTGTGTGTGTCTATAGGGCTTCTTTGCAGTACTGACATTAAAATGGCAACTCAAATCCTGAAAATAAAGAACAATAGGTCAGCAGTTAATAATGAAACTTATAATTAATGTTTCTGGGATGCATTGGATTTCGTGAAGTGGCTGGTTATTCTGCCTTTAGGATAACCCTTACTATCTTTTGCTTCCTATGTTTTCCAAGAGCGTAGTGGATGTGCGTAGAGTGGAAATAATCTAGTCACCAGTACCTAAGTGCTGATTTGTGGACTAGTTGCTGCAGATCTCAATTCTCAGGAGGTCCTGTCCCTGGAGATTCTGATCGAGTAGATTGCACAGCCCTCAGGAATCAGTCATTATATAAGGAAATTCCCAGGAGACTCTGATGCATGACTACCTTTGGGAATAGGCTCTCTGGGTTTTCCAAAGCCATATTCTATAAAACTATAATTTGAACTCATTTTCATTGGATGTGGAATGCAGTTTGGGAATTGATAAAGGCTTAGTTCACATTGGAAGAAAATCAGAATTATAGAGTAATTATAAAGAGATGTAATTAAAATACAAATACCAATCTCAGTCATGTAAACTAAGGTTAACAAAATGTTGCCAAATGCAGACTGTTTTAATGAATAAATTAGCACATGAATTATATACTAGTAAGTACTGCTAAGGTAGCATTAAAAGTGCTTGAAAACGCTGTTTTCTTAGGCTGAACAGTCACCTTGAAATCTTGTCGATGTTCCAAATATGCTTGAAACAGAAGCTGCATGGTTACATTTCAGCCCAGTTCAAGACACAATGTACAGCACTGTGGTTGGTGTATGGCCTCGCTCTCCTCTCTTATTCTTTTGCCCTTGTCTGCATGCTCTGATGGCCCCACAGATAAGAAAACACATGTTTCTACTTCTACATTTTGGAGGATCATCTCAGGAGAAGTAATTACTCTAAGAGTTCTTTCTTTTCTTTTTTTTTTAAATCAGTGGTATAAGTCATATGTAGTATAGACAGTATCCACTAAGGGAGATTGTGGTAAAAGACTGTGTAGAGATTGAAGTCTAGAAACAGGCAGAAGTAAGTTCAAATCCCAGTGGCATCTCCTAACCATATGATATCGAAGCCTGAAAGACTTATTTCAGGGCTTGGTACTTACCAAGAATTTGTTAATAGATAGCAGTTTCTGTTCTTATTGTTATTATTACTACTTTTTTAAGTAGCAATGGTTAGTAGAGAACCAGATTCAAAGCCAGGTCATTGGATGTTCCCATCTACCATTCTTTCCAACAGTGAGATTCCCAATTTTCCCTTTGTCTTTAACCATTCTTTCTCAGTTTTGTCTTCCTCTTTGTATGAAAATGCTTCTCCAGGCTGAGTATCTAATAACACAGTATTCAGAAAGAGGTATGAAAAGCATGCAGCACCGCACAGGCATTATTGGTATAGAACTTAATGTACATTAGACCAAGTGATCTTAATCAGAAGTGATGGAGTGATGAAGGATGGCATTCTTTATATTGATGGGAGCACTCGCTCTAGATTATGCATCTGTTCAGGACATTCAACAAACAGACTGCCTTGGAGGGTGAGAGGTAGGAAACAGGAACAGCAGGAGGCTGAGCTCCATAAAATGTAATTGTATTTCTACTGCTGCAGACGTAGAAAATTATGCCTAAAGAAGCCCCAGAGTATAAATTGGCTAGGAACATTGTGTTCTTTCTGGGCACTGTTTTAAGATGGTTAGTGACAAATAAGAAGGTTCATAAGAAGGGCGGTTGTGTCTGAAAACAGATTTGGGGAGTAGTTGATGGTGGGAATGTTTTGCCTGGAAAAAGGAAGACTTGTAGAGGGAAGATAGTAACAGAGTCACTGTTTCCAAATTATCTGAAGGGCTGGCAGTTAGAAAGATATTAAATACATTCTTTGTGACTCCAGAGGGTATATCTGTGATTATCGGACTACAAGGTGGCAGATATCATTAGCTCTACATAATAAAAGGTCAAAGTGAAAAAACCTTCTGAGCACTTAAAGAGTGCCTTACAAGGGGGTGAGCTTCCCATCCCTGGATTCACTCAAGCACAGAGCAGATGGCCACAATTCTTCAAGAAGATATCTACATTTGGTCGGTGGATGGGCCACTTGGATTTGCGATTCCTCTCTTTACACATTTGAACCATTTTATCATTACCACTATTTTCAGGTTTTACAAATTCTGTAACAAATAGTGGGGTTTTTTGTTGTTGTTGTTGTTGTTGTTATTAGTATTACAATGTTTGGGTGACTGTCTAGTGAAACATGTTGTTTTCTTTGTTAAGTTCATGGAAATAAAAGGTAAAACCTTTTTTTAAAAAAACGTATAGGAAATCACACTTTACTGATTTTTTTCTCATTCCCAGCCCACTTCCTGCTTTTCCTGCAGCTCAGCATTGCACATTGATGGTCCTTGGGCTTTGCTTGCCTCCTCATATGTGTTTTATTTTTGCCTGCAAAGTATTTTTGGTGATTTGCTTTATTGTGGCTGTAAAGTATTTCTTAATGAATCTAAATGCTGTTAGGCATATTGCTCATTCTCTAGGCCTATGCAGTTGCCATGTCTGCCTCCTATCTAGGCTTGCTTCACTGGCTGATGGTGCATGCATAGCTCCTGAAGGCATTGGAGTTTAAGATCTTTGCCTATTTCATGGGCTGCTCCTCTTCTCTCTGCCACTCAAAGATTACTATTCCCCAGGATCTTCTGTCTGGTATACTGGGCATGCTGTTTATCTGAAACATCTGTTTAACCTCCCTGACTACTCATTTACAGTGCTCTGGCCCCAGGTGAGTTTATTTTGTTGTTTTTTGTTGTTGTTGTTTTTAACTTCAAGTTCTGGGATACATGTGCAGAACGTGCAGGTTTGTTACATAGGTATACATGTGCCATGGTGGTTTGCTGCACCTATCAACCCGTCATCTAGGTTTTAAGCCCTGCATGCATTAGGTATTTGTCCTAATACTTTCCCTCCCCATCGCCCCCCACCCCCAACAGACCCCAGTGCGTGTTCTTCCCCTCTGTGTGTCCATGTGTTCTCATTGTTCACCTCCCACTTATGAGTGAGAACATGCAATCTTTGGTTTCCTGTTCCTGTGTTAGTTTGCTGAGAATGATGGTTTCCAGCTGCATCCATGTCCCTGCAAAAGGTATGATCTCATTCTTTTTTATGGCTGCATAGTATTCCATGGTATATATGTACCACTTTTTCTTTATCCAGTCTATCACTGATGGACATTTGGGTTGGTTCCAAGTCTTTGCTGTTGTAAATAGTGCTGCAATAAACATATATATGCATGTGTATAGTAGAATGATTTATAATCCTTTGGGTATATACCCAGTAATGGGATTGCTGGGTCAGATGGTATTTCTGGTTCTAGATCCTTGAGAAATGGCCACACAGTCTTCCACAATAGTTGAACTAATTTATACTCCCACCAACAATGTAAAAGCATTCCTATTTCTTCACGGACTCACCAGCATCTGTTGTTTTAATAATCGCCATTCTGACTGGTGTGAGATGCTATCTCATTGTGGTTTTGATTTGCATTTGTCTGATGATCAGTGATGATGAGCTTTTTTCCTGTGTTTCTTGGCTGCATAAATATCTTCTTTTGAGAAGTGTCTGTTCATATTCTTTGCCCACTTTTTGATTTTTTGTTTGTTTGTTTGTTTCTTGTAAATTTATTTAAGTTCCTTGTAGATTTTGGATATTAGACCTTTGTCAGGTGGGTAGATTGCAAAATTTTTCTCCCATTCTGTAGGTTGCCTGTTCATTCTGATGCTAGTTTCTTTTGCTGTGCAGAAGCTCTTTAGTTAAATCCTATTTGTCAGTTTTGGCTTTTGTTGCAATTTTTTTTTTTTTTTTTTTGGTGTTTTCATCTTGAAGTCTTTGCCCATGCCTATGTCCTAAATGGTATTACCTAGGTTTTCTAACA